AATTTGCAAGAATTCACAGCTAAAAATTTCCCTCTGAGTACTGTTTTTGCCACATCCCGTAAGTGTTGGTATACTATGCTTTCTTTTTTGCGCATCTCAAAGTATTTTCCAATTTCCCTTGTGATTCCTTCTTTGTCCCATTGGTTTTAGGGCAGTATATTGTTTTTCCACATATCTGTAAATTTCCCTAATTTCCCTCTGTATTGATTACTTCTGTTTTCTACCACCTGGACTCCTTGGCTTTGTGGCCAGCTGTCCATTTAGTCTCTATACTTTGTGTACAACATTGTCCTTTTTCAAAGACTTGCTCTGTGTCATCTTCCTTACAGAAGAACAAGAGTTAACCTCTCCATCAGACCTACAGATGTTTCACACAGATGCTCTGCCATGCCATTCCCAGGACCAAACCCTACTTACTTTATATCTGCATCAGGGAAGAACAATCAGTATAACTACGAATTATTCAGCTAACATCTTAAACAATCAAGCCCATTATTTGTCTGTATGTCTGGCCCAATTATAGGCCATTGCTGACCACTAAAAGTTTGTGCTTATATTTCAGAATCATTTTGGTATTTTAGAAATCAGATAGTTCTTACTAGGAAATAGACACTTGCATCAGAAGATACTTCTGATTGGTATAAAACATGGCTTATATGAATTTACTTTTTACTAGTAAAATGAATAAACTGAAACATAATTTAGAGATTTGTTAACCCTCCTGTCTCAGGGTGGTATAGTATGCACCCTATAATGAAATAATTATTCGTTTCTGTGTCCATGTCTTTTCCAAGGCTCTGGACCACTTGGGAAGATCAACGGGGAAGTCCCCACTTCAGTCATTGCAATTCTCACCATTTCAATCCACTGATGGCCCCCACTAGCTGGTTCCAGCCAGCCTGGGATTTGGTGTCTCAGGTATCATTGCTGTATTTCTACCTTCTACACCAACAATGTGGTCAGCCTTTTGTTGCCAGCCAACCTGGGAGCCCAAATTCTGGGGAGAGTATCAGACAGCTAATGTTGGCTTGGCCCAGGATTTGGGACTATACTTCTGTTTTCCTACGCTGACTCACAGACTCAGCTTGCAGTTGGCCTGGGTACCTTGCCGAGAAGTCCAGTTCTCCCTAGGCTTGGATGCTGTCCTGACTATGGTCTGTTCCACGTGGGCTAATATACACAGTGGGCACTTTTGATAAGTACTAAATGGATGAACACAATCCCTCCCATTTTACTTCATTAAAGATGACTCTGTTTGACCTTACACATACCACTTAGGTATTTGACTTCATTTGTCACTTAGTTTTGCTCAGATCACTATTAGGAGTGAAAATACTGAAGGCAGATGGTCGGATCGCTAGGGCAGCAGGTAGAGAATGGGGAGAGGCAATAGAAAACAGGCAATGACAGGAGAGAACGGAGGGAAAACACTAAGCAGAGCAGAATAGCTATGTAGGGCCATTGAGTCTAGGAGCAAATGGCTCTCTGCATCTTAAGAGGTCCAAGTGCCAAGGCCAAACACACAGGCAAAATGGGTGGTAAAATTCAATGGAAGAACCAGACAAGACCCATACAATTCTATAGCTCTGGAGGGCATGGATACATCCAAGTACCATGCTCAAAACAAGGACCCGAGTCATCAAGAAAAGGTTAAATGGTGTTCAGTACACTCTGCCAACAGGCTGCCAAGAGCAAACACATTTTAGGAACATTTCCCTCTATAAATGCGTATTTTCTCTTTGATGTGAGAGCTTAAAGTAGTAAATTTCAGTTATCTAGACAATTAGGGCCATCTTATTCTCCAAAGATCTCAGATGGCTAAGGCACCACGGCACACATCACTTACAATAAACCAAAGATCATTCTAACACAGGTCCTCAGGGACTTGGAGATGGCCTGATTAAAACCTGAGGGCTTTAAAATAAGTTTTTTTTTGTTTTTTTGTTTTGTTTTTAAAGAGAAGCAACTCTAAGGCATCAGCTGGTATCTTTAAGGCATCACTCACATCCTGAATTATCTAGTTCTAAACCAGACTAAACTCCACCCACCCAAGTTAATCTGGATCGCCCAGATTTCTGATTGGAGCTTGATTCTCCTGTTACCTTGGCTACCCTTCTAGTTCCTCTTCTATGGCCCAAGATTCATCTTCATGATTCTTTCTTTTCCGTTTAACTTTTGGTGTCATCTATTTGAACACCTGGTGTCTGACTTTGGCATTGTCCCATCATACCACCTCCTGACTCCCAGACTGGCTTTGACATTCACTTCTGCACACTCCAGGGATGGTTCCTGCCCACTTGGTCTTGCTTTACATTTTTTTCATGCTTTGCCAGGCTATACCAGTAGGTCAAGCTGCATCCACATAATAATGAAGCATCTTACACTGGGCTGTGCTTAGCTATTTAAAAAAATATATTTTTAAATTTATTTCAAAGAGGATGGGAGAGGGAAATAGTGAGATAGAAACATCAATGATGAGAGAGAATCATTGATTAGCTGCCTCCTGCACACCCCATAGTGGGGATTGAGCCCGCAACCCATGCCTGTGCCCTTGACTGACATCGAACCCAGGACCCTTTAGTCCACAGGCCAATGCTCTGTCCACTCAGCCAAACCAGCTAGGGCTTCTAGACTATTTTGTATATGACTCTAAATACATCATCTTGTTTGAATTAAGCTCCCTTAAAGATGGTATTATCATTATTTTTTTAATCCTCACCTGAGGATATTTTCTCATTGATTTTTAGAAAGAGTGGAAGGGAGGGAGAAGGGGAAGAGAGAGAAATATCCATGTGTGAGAGACATATCCATTGGTTGTCTCCCATAAGCACTCTGACCCAGGACATGGGATCAAGCTTGCAACTGAGGTATGTGCCTTTGACTGAGAATTGAACCTGAGACCTTCAGTCCATAAGCCGACATTCTAATCACTGAGCAAACTGGCTAGGGCTAAAGGTGTTACTTTTTTATCTGACTTTTCTCTAATATAAACAGTATACACTTTTATTGACTATCCTTTTCACAATGGAGTATTTCTCATGCCCAAGAAATAAAATGGCTCAAATCCTGGCTGGTTATATTCATTCAGGAATAAGAGCCCTAAAAATCAGATGCACATGAAGATAGTTAATTGCCCTCTGAGATCTAAAAGGGGGAGTCTTAGCCCTAAAAAGAAATTATGAAAGAGATTCTCTCACACTTAATGTGCAAAGAGTTACCTGGGAAGCTTGTAAAAATGTGGAATCTTGGGCTGTCCTTATAAAGTCTAATTCAGTGATCTGGGTGCAAGAATCTGCATTTTTAACAAAGAGCCTTAGATATCTGATGTAGTTGTCCCTTGGACTACCCTTTGAAAATTAAAGGACCATCAAGCCTCTCCTTCTTAGGAGCTATGATGCACCTTAGAAGCTATGATGCATTTGGCCAATTCTTTCCTAATACTCTTATTACCAAACATCAGTTCAGTTCCAAGACCAACTTATATTTGTTTTGGTAAAGACAATGTAAAATCTCCAGGTTTCCATATGTGCCTGTGGGCTGACATGCTCTATCCACTGAGGGCAGTGCTACTTTAAATAAGAAATGAAGATATCCATTTGATCCAGAAAACCTTCAGATTAACTCTCCAGCAATACATATATTATTGGTGAAGGACTTCTGTACCTGGCTGGTCTGATGCCCAGGGACCTGGCAGACGGAGGGCAGTGGGGCCCAGGAAGCATGGCTGGCTGTGCATCTGACTGGACAGACCAAGAGTCCCTGGGCACATCCGTAACAATCCTAGAGGGGAACCTCAGGAAAATCAGTTTATTTGGGAGGATTCTGATGGGGATAGGATGCTTTTGGAATCCGAGATGACAGGAGATATTGATGAGCTATTAGATCCAGGAGGCCTGTCTGTTATTTGAGATAATGGGGGCTCCATTTGTTACAGGACGATGCCTTCATGTTTGCTCTAACATGGCTTATGGCTTGCAGGGGATATATGGACTGACTGGTGCAACCATTAAGGATGTTAGAGCCCCATTCTTACTATTACTGGGATATGTGTACGCATTTGTGTTTTTCCTAGGAGGATCTTTATTTTTTCTCCCAAACCTCACAACTGGTTATACAGATGTTTAATTGAGAGGAATAATTATGAATTACAATTTTTTTCTTTCAAACTTTCCTATCTGACTCATTTATCGCCTTCATTACAAGTGTTCTAAATTTTGTAAAATTAAAGTTAAAAAAATAAACAATGCTAGTAGGCAAGCCCAAGTCTAGAAAAACTCAGTTTTAAAAACAGTTAATGTTTCTTAATTGAGAGCCTTGTGTACTGTAAGAATGCTAATTCACAGAAAAAAGGAATTTAAAGTCAGAATAAAAAGTAGACAAAGTTGACTAAGAAAGAAATACAGGCAGATTAATCCCTCGGAGGCAAAGGGACAGGGACACTCAATGGCTAAGAATGACCACAGGTAGAGAATACCGGTTACAATTGCACAAAGTTAGGAGTATATTCAGAAAATGCCTAATATGGAAATTAAAGCTGAACTGTTGACCTAGAGCTTTTGAACACTCTGATATGCTTTGGGTAAATAAAGCAAGGGAGAGAAATTTTATCCGACTTCTGTTTGCTATTCAACTCTGACCCTTGCCTACTAAATGACTTCAAGTATCTGTTATGGGAAAAAAAAATGATACCACTTTAATTTCCGGCTCCATCCCCATCTGGCCAGGGAGAGAATATATTAATATTATCATGTTTTGTCTTTAGGGCCTGTGATACCCTCGAGGACAAGCCTGTGGGACAGTCTGTTTTGGCAGTGATTCTCAACAAGAATCAGAAGAGCAAGATTCAGGACAAGGCCAGTTCACGTAACACAGCTCAGAGCCATACAACACAACTTGCTCCGAGGATGTTGGGCATTGTGCTTCATTAGGAAACAAAATATAAGCTTTCCACACCATTAGGGATGACTTTAGGAGTGAAAGCACATAAGACGATGCCTCACCTCATCAACAATGCACTGTAGAAGCTGGAGAGGCTGCAACGAGAGAGAAGAGGAAAAAGTATTAGCCTCTATGCAATATCTTTACAGCGGAGCGGAAAGAAGAAATCATTAATGCAATAAAATATAGCAAGATTAATCAACAACAGCAAACTCTTATAAAAACATTGATGCTCAGGATGTTCTATTATTTCTAATGGTACCTAATCTAATACAGGCAGTTAAAGGTTTGCATTTTCTTCAAAATGCAATCTGCTAAGTTTAAAACAAGGCATTCAAGCATGCAAAGGGAGCAGCCATCAGGAAAAAGAAAAGTGAATTTTTTTCTGAAGTCATAAAGCTTACCATTAAAGATCCCTGGTTTTTCTGAATCTGAAAAAAGGCAATATGTAATTAGCATGTCATAATCAAAATGACTCACTTGGACACATTATGATCACTGAGAGAAAATTATTGCATTGCTGGTGGCAATTTGTGGGCATGTGTTAACACAATTTACATAATGAAAATACACAAATGTTAATAGCTCGCTTCTCATTTATAGGCGAAAGTCAGCAGAATGTTAATTTCACACAACACTTTTTAGTACCCTCCAGGTTGTATTAGAATAGGGAGAAAAACCATAATCCATTTCAAAAGGCTGTTTACGATTCAGATATAAATAATGTTTTATATTGCTAGATTGTGAACACTGGGCTTAATGTTGCAATCATTGCTAATGTTATGAAGCTCACTCTTTTTAAATTAAAAACCGATTTATTTAAAATTGAAATTAAATCATAGTCAGAAATTAGAATTTTGGATTCCTGCCAGTGTTTGCTCACAATCCCCTATTTTGTGAAGAAAACTTTAATTATGTGGTTGAAGAATTTGTCTCTAACTCAGGAGTAGGGTGAAGGCTCCACCTTTTCCCAAGTTCCTTCAGCCCGTTTCCAGGGCAGCAATGCTCTCTGGGAAAATCAAATCCATGTAAGTTTTACACAGCTTCTCAGGGGATAAAGTAGGGGGAAGGAAGAAATGCCTGGTCCTGATCAACATTCTAAAGGCAGGCTGCTCACACATCTAGCACTGATAAACCATCTCTTTTAGGAAGTTACTAAAATACGATACCAAATTAATAAAACGGCCACTGTAATTAAAGCATTGAACACTCTAATGACCCCTCCCTATGCTTGCTCTTATTACAAACTCAATGAAAATGGAGTCCCAGGTACTACATTTCCTGAGAAGGAAAATTTCAGAAATGAAACAACTGTCAGGGTCAGTGGTTGCTGGCATAACTAAGCTATAATCAGCTGGTAAAATATAGGAAAAACAGTAATAGTCCTCCATATGTGTTTTTAAAATTTTGTTTAATCCTTACCAGAGGACATGTTTATTTTAATTTAAAAAAATCTTTATTGTTGAAAGTATTACATAAGCCCCCATTCCCCCCCCCCTTATTGACCTCCACCCCACACCCTAGCCCTTCACCACCTATTGTCTCTGTCCATGGGTTATGCATATATGCATACTAATTCCTTGGTTGACCTTTTCCCATCCACTCACCCACCCATCCTCCCCTGCCTTTCTTCTGAGATTCCAGTTTGTTCTATGCTTCTATGTCTGTGGATCTATTTTCTGCATCAGTCTATTTTGTTCATTAGATTCCATATATGAGTGAGATCATGTGATACTTGTCTTTCTCTGGCTGGCTTATTTCACTTGATATAATACCCTCCAGGTCCCCCAGTGCTGTCTCAAAAGCATAAGAGATCCTCCTTTTTTACCGCTGCATAGTATTCCATGGCATAAATGTACCACAGCTTTTTTATCCACTCATGTACTAATGGGCACTTGGGCTGTTTCCAGATCTTAGCTACTGTAAATTGCGCTGCATGAACATAGGGGTGCACACATTCTTTTTGACTGGCGTTTTAGGTCTCTTAGGATATATTCCTAGAAGTGGGGTCACTGGGTCAAACGGCAGAGGACATGTTCATTAGTTTTAGGGAGAGTAAGAGAGGGAGGAAGAAGGGAGAGAGGAGAGAAACATGGAATGGTTGCCTCTCATATGTAACTGAACCCTGGCTGAGAACTGAACATGTGACCTTTTGGTGTACTAGACGATGCTCCAACCAACTGAACCACACTGGCCAGGACCCCATATGTTCTTAATGATGCTTTAAAAAGTTCATTGATCTGCACAACCACCTTGAAGCTGGCAGAAATGACCATCTCTACTCTATGCAGGGTAACTGGACCTCTCAGAGGATGGGGCTGCAGGAATAGGCTGTGGTTGTGCTGGCTCTCCTCCAATGCTCTCCTCTCCAGAATCTGTATTACACCTGCCTATAGTCACAGTATTGCTTAAAAACAATTAGATTTGCATATATATATTGGGCATGGCCAAGTTGATAAAGTACTGATTTTGGTGTGTGAGTTCTTTTCAACTAGACTGTAAGCTTCTCAAGAGCAGAAGCTATGTGTTGTCATTTCTTTTGCATCAATAAGGGCTGATCAGCATACCTTCCACCTAGTGCTTCAGTGTTTAAAAAAGTGCCTTTCTATATATTATCTTGATGAAACATGGTGCCCACCATCACCCCCTTATCCTTATCACCTCCTCCTTCCCTAAACTAATTTTTCCAGAAACCGTTGTCCCAGGCTAACTGGCTCTTAGTCCACTTTAAAAAAAATTAAATTACAGTTGACATTCAATATTATATTAATTGGTTTTAGGTGTAGTCTTAATCTATTTAATGTTGTCTTAGTTATTGTTCTTTGATCCTTTATCAATGAGAACTTTTGGATAAAGCTCTGCAAGTAAAGATTTATATTAAAAAGCGAGACAAAGAAGTTAACTACCACCCTGGAGAGGTTAAGGATTTTACTAACAAGCCACACCTCCTTTAAAAAAAATCTTGAAAAGCCCAGGTAATTGTGCTTTTAAATATTTTTAAATGCACATGACAACCCACCTTACCCCCATTCTTGTTAAGATATATCTACTTCAAGGGGAGAGTTATTTGTAATGAACAAAGAATTAGAAATCCATTTTGACCTCAAAGAGAATATTTTCCACACATCTCCAACAGTCATGGGGATTACAACATTCTCTGAGGAAAACATGCGGCAAACATTCTAAGTGAGATGTTTCAAAAATGAATTCAAAGAATGAATCGCGAGACAGTGTTCCCAGTAACATGAATGGAGGAAACCAAATGAGTAGAAGGGAGGACATTTCCTTATGAACCGCTGTCCTGGAGAAAGTCTCCTCCTCCTTGCCTTATTTTGTGGGTTTAATGCATGGTTTAAGCCAACTTAAAAACTGCACTATTTTAATCTGGCTCTTTACCACAAGAAAGGGAGAAACAGAAACATCAAAGTCTTTTTCTATTATCTTATCACGATTCTGTTTTGCCCAGATTTTTAGAGAGACATTGTTACCAGGTTTTATTACACAGTTTTGATAGTAACATATTATAGGAAATCATCTTCATAAATTTTGTATTAAGGTAGCAGTGCCAGCACCTGAAATTGATTCAAAATGTTTAAGATACTCAATTACTTTTTAACACTGTTACACAATGTGGTGACTTATATCTTCTATTTCCCAAGAATTTGATGATGCAACATCATTGTAATTGATTCATTTTCTCAATTAAATAAAGCTACTGTGCTTTTCTTTATATGAATGCCACAAAGGCCATAGAGTTAGATGTATTATCTCCTTTCTCTGTCTCAGATATATTGCCTTAAAGGCTATATTCTGTTCCTCTGTTAATTCCACCAGAAAATTTATTGCCACAGTCATATTTTTCAAATTCTGATCTGCTATGTACTCGACTGTATTTATATTAGGCGTATTTTTCACTGCTAAACTCTTTGTTGTTTACCTTTTTCAAAATCACATTACAGTACAGCGCAGCAGCCATAAAACAGATACAAAGTCAGCCTCCAGTCCCTGCCTCTGCTTTGGCACACAGTTCATGAGAGAGAGAAGCCCCCACGTTAACAGCACTCAGAAGTGGTGCTGAGGGTGTTCAGTATAAAATGTGAGCTTCGTGAATGCCTCTCTTTATTCCGGGTCTGCCTTCCGAATGCTCAGCTGTGGGAGCAGAGTTCAGAGGGACACAATAACATTGTTAGAGCTGATGTACTGCCTGCACCGCACAACATATGAAATGCTGTTTATAACCCACTTGTCCAAGTCTACCTTCTTGCTTATACATTTTGCTTGTGTTGAGTTTTCTGTGTCTAACTTTGGGACAACGAACGGAACAGTCATTGCTCCAGTCTTACCTTTTGCTAATCAGTTTCTAAAACTAGTAGCACTTTGATACACTAATTAGATGAACCTCTTCCCTCTTCCAGGCATAGCTTTCTTCTTTTGCCAGTTCTGAGATCCAAGATTTCAAGGTATACTAACAAGAATTAGTTATGCCTCATTGTGATGTGAAAGAGGCTGTTATGTGATTAAACAGGGAAGAATGACTTCATAACAGCCAGGCAAAGTATCAGTTAGGTATCAGGATGTCACTGCGGTACCATTTATCATGTGTTCCTTCGTAAGGACCATATAAATGGCAATTAGGAAAGCTCCCATAACATGACTTAAGACTTTGGAAAATGAGCCTGGAAAGATTTCCAATGCCAACGTTTGCCTGTGGGGCTTTGACTCTGAGGATTAAAAAGCAACTTTGGAAGTCTCCATTATGCTCCTATATCTGTAGACATACTTTTCAGACAGTCTAACACTGACTTGACTAACAGCCATTTTACATTATATTCAGAAGCACAATCAGAAAACTAAAATGAATCCACCTATGTAACTTAAAGAAGACACCAGCTACAGCTTTCATTTTCTCTTTTACTCTCTGAAATTATGGCTTGCCCTGCAGCTGTTGTCTGAGAGATTTATGTGTGACCTAGGTCAGATCTTCCAATATCAGTTGACAAATTCTCTCTTTACATATTTACTGCTTTCCAAGCTTGTGTTATTTTTCTCTTAAATAGAAAAAAAATATAAAATTAAATCATATGGCTGGAATTTTTAAAGAATATCATTTTTATTTGGTATGTCACTGACATCACATTCCAGCTCTCTGCTTTACTCTTTTTTAAACCTCAAATTTCAAGAACTGTGGCTATATTGCAAAGATTCTCCTTTCAAGCCAAATGCAGTCAGCTAAATATTAACAGGGATTAAGGTAAACTGAGACTTTCATACTCTAAATGGGAAGAATGACCTAACGAATATTTGAAAAGGAAGAGGCCTCAGAGATATTCTAGTTCCGTGGTTGGCAAACTGCAGCTTGCGAGCCACATGCGGCTCTTTGGCCCCTTGAGTGTGGCTCTTCCACAAAATACCACGGCCTGGGCGAGTCTAT